ATGTAAAAAACTTAACAATTGAGATCGCAGGGGTTCCTGGATTGAGGCGCCAATCTGGAGTGTCCGAGTTGGGTCCTCTGCCGAAGTTGGGACGGAGACAGTCTCTTCCATGGGCGTAGCTCGCTCTTCGCATTGCTCTGTAGGTCACCCCAGCTCAAGGTCGTCAGCCACCTTGGCTTTCCCTTTGAGGGCGGCGACGTAGCACTTGCGAGACTCGAGTTGATTGCCTTGCGCTACCCCAACTCCGAAGTCCGTGGGAAACTTCATCGCCAAATAATAAGTGGAGACCACCGCACGTTGAGCATGGGTGATCGGCCGACCTATTATGGCGTTGTACGGGGAGGGAGTCGCGACCACCAATAAGTCATGGTTGAGCCTCACTATGCTAGGCCAGTGTTGACTTCCACAGGTACTGTAAATCTCCCCAGGGGCCTGACTTCCTCTCCGTTGAAGCCTACCAAGGGAGTACTTGCGGGCTTGAGATCGCTCTCTCGGAGCTGAAGCTTGTCAAATGCTGCCTTGAAAAGGATGTCTGCCGAGCTGCCGGAGTCGACGAGGACACGCTTGACTTCGAGGTCGTTAATCCTGATCTTTACGATGAGCGCATCATCGTTGGGGTAGTGGACCTCGCGCGCGTCATCCTCTGTGAAGAAGATCGGGTTTTCTATCCTTGGCCGCTTCAGGGGGTTCTGCTCTTCCCTTCCGACCTCGCGAGCTGATGTATGAGCTACAGCCCACGACGATTGAACCTCCGACGATCACATGAATAGTCCCTTGAACTGGTCTCTCTTCAGGGGGATGCCTCTACGACTGCTTTGTTGGTCTGCTGCTAGATTCGGGAGCATCTCTACCTTGCTCCGCTTGCCCACCTGCTTTATTACTATTTTGTACAAAATTCCTTAAGTATCTATGACGGATGAGCTCCTCTATCTTGTCGCGAAGGTTTTTACAATTCTCGGTACTCTGACCATGATTTTTATGAAAACTACAATACAAATTCTTATTTCTTACATTGGGGTCCCCTTTCAGTCGTGGTGGCCACTTCACATACGGGGGGCGTCTTTGATCGCCATAAGGTTCTCGGTTCGCTTCGCGTTCAGGGGTGTGTAGTCCGTCCTTTCTGTTGGCAGAGCTCGGAAAGGTTGACTTGGCTTTGCCCCTCGAGCTGGGTGGGTCTTCTTCTTACTGTCCCCTTGTACCGAGGACTCACCTTCGCTTTTCCTTTTCTCGGGGACCTGCTCACCCTTCTGGTTGATCTCCTCCTCCGTCCCTATAAACTGATCTGCGGGCTTGAGGAACTCGGTCACAGTCTTGGGCCAATTAACAACCATGTGCCACTTGAATTCTTTGTGCGTGATGCCTCTCTTGGCCGCTGTAAGCCGAATTGCGGGGTCCAGGTCGGGTATTTGTAAACAAGCGTCATTGAACCGCTTGATATAACTCCGGATGAACTCCCCTTCCCTCTAGACTTTGCCAAGGAGGCTCTCCTGGGTTCTCGGGCACCGCTTGCTGGTGACGAAATGAGAAGTGAAGAGTTGCACGAATTGCACCCAACTTTTTATTGATCCGGACGCAAGACTCACTGGGTTCTCGGGTCACTCATTTGAAGGTGGTGGAGAAAGCCACGCCCATGCAGGACTCACTGGCCCTTGCCAAATGCATCTGCGACTGGAAGGCGTCGACATGGTCATTTGGATCGAATGACCCGTCATACTTATCCAAGGGAGGCTTGAAGTCCTTTGGCATAGGGACGACAAGGAGTTCCAAAGACAGGGGGGACGGAACTGAGAGGAGCGGAGTGGCTTTTACTTTGTCCAAGCTTACCTCTTCCTTACCCTTGAGCTTGGGCAGGTTGTGTGTGGCAGTTCGGTGAGCTCGGCAGCGTCTCCGCTGCTGCTTCGCTGGCTTGGCGTTAGTGCTGCTTGCTTCTGTGTCAATGAGCTCGACGGGCCTAGGGAGAGGCTTGGATTGCTGTGAACTGAAGGACCTTGTCTAAAGTCCGCGACCAGAACTTTGAACTGGTTTTTGGCGAGCGGGAGCTCGAACTGCAAAGGCCGAGGCGACGCAGGTCTGACTGGATGAGAAGCCCCCGACCTGACTATAGACTGTGAGTTGGGGGGAGTAACTTGTCTTTCCCTCCTACCATGGGATGAGACCTAGCTTCCAAGAGGGTTCTGAGCCTGGGAGGTCTCTCCCCAGTGAAAGGGGCGACGCTTGCTGCGACGACAGGGCTGGACTTGTTGTGTAGCAGGGTGTAGAGGTGGAACTTGCTGTTGAGGCTGAGGCAGCGGCGAAAACTGCTGCGGGTACTGCTGTTGGTAGACGTGGTGGAGCATCTGTTGCTGGTACAGCTGGAACTGGTGGATCTACTACATTTGAGCTTGCATAGCTCGCATGTAGTGTACCAAGTTTTCTAGCTGGTTGTGCCCGGCCACCGGGAGAATTGATGGTCCTGCAAAGGTCACCTCTACCGATGAAGGGAGTGGAGCATTCACCGGCGCCATGAACTAAGGCACGCTCAAGGTAGGGACTCCATCTGTGGAGAGGGGTACAGTGAATTGGCGAATGCAGACGGTAGGGAGCTGAGGTCGCTACCTGGAGGTGTTTTGGTCGGCACTTTGTCCGACGTTGCTGGAGGAAGCCATTGAAGTCTTACTGAAAGTTTCGGTGTTTGGTGGATGAAGGCTTTTTGAAGCGTTTCCCACAGACGACACCAAATGATGTAGTGCGATCCGGTCACTCCTAGCTGGCAGGGGCTTCGCTCCTAGCTGGCAACGGACAACACCTGAGAATGAGAAGAAAATGAAGGATTCCCGGGGAGCTCGCCCGATGGGAACACTATGACGATCAAGTTTGAACTCTGAGAGAGAATCGCAGAGAGTGCAAGGAGAGCTAAGAGTGCAGAAAGCGCGAAATCAATTACCTTGCTCCTTGGAAATCGGGGCCTTTATATACTGATGCTTTGTCAAATCGGGTGTAACCGCCTCTGATTCTCTACTACAACCGTTATTTGGTAGGACTGATTTGATTGGCACAAATAACCGTTGCAGGGTACAGTCACGTCAGTTGAGAGACGTTATGCAGAGCTGGCGTGCACAACGTCGCTTGACGAGAGACGTGGGCGCAGTCCTCTGGACTTGCAGGTGCTGCGCCGCCAGACAAGAGATGTGGGAGCAGCTTGACAGGTACGGTCTTATTGGATAATAAGCTTTCCAAAGACTCTGGGTTACTCTATAGCGAGCTCCTTTGTAGCGAGCTCCCTCGTAGCGAGCTTCCTCGTAGCGAGCTCCCTCGTAGCAGGCTCCAATAGCGAACTGCTTTGCTGTAAGCCGTTCTATAGTAAGTTGTAGCGAGCTGTCTTATGACGAGCTGTTTGAGCTGAGTTTCAGCGAGCTCATTACGTCGAGTTGTAGCCAAGCTGTCATGTTGAACTGTCACTTACGTCGAGTCATATCCACGTGTCGCCTGCTCAGGAGGTCGGGTCAAATCACCTTCCATCAGCTTCAAAAAATTACAAATGTTAAAAGACCATTCGGGAGGAGGCTTAAATTTTGGTTTTTTTTTTTTTTTAAAGAGGGTATATTTAGTTAAGTTGATTCATCTGCTTTGAGGTGTTATGAATGAGCTATTTAAACTTTAAAGAAAGCCTATAGGTGACGATCCCAAAAAATAATTGACGGATGGCCAATTTCGGCTCTCCAATTTCGGTTCACATCTGCGCCCCACTAGGGGGCTCCCCAAAATCCCCCACAGCACATGACCCCACTCTTTATATTAGTAACATCTCCGAATGATGATCTCATTATCTCCCATATTTGTTGTTTGGGAGATATTTTTCAATACAAAGTGGAGATGTGGTGTAGGGCATTGGGGGGCGCCCCATGTGGGGTGCAGATGTGAACTCAGTTTATGGTTTAGTATAACTATGTAAAAATGAAAAAGATAAGTTTATTATTGGAATTTAAAAATTTAAACATAGATAAAAATGATAAAAATAATTGAAATTTGAAAGTTCGAATATGAAAGTAGGGAGATTGAAACTCTTTGTAAGAGTTAACACAAGGGGGGCGCCTTGAGCATTGGGCATTGTTATAGGAAGAGTGACACTCTCTTTTGTTATAGTTAACACAAGGGGGGCGCCTTGGGCATTGTTATAGGTTGACACCAAAATTGTAATGTCTGGTGGGTAAAGATGTTGGAACAAGTTGTGAGTAGCGTATCTAAGCCCTATGACATAAGGAGTGTAGCTGCTACGGTGTTAGAAAGTTTAGGGGAATACAGTAATTAAGTAAGTCTTTGGCATTGGTGTTGGGCATGTTTGAGTTGTGAACACATCATTGGTGTTGAGAAAACTGTGCTGCCACATAGGTTGTTTATGGGAAACAATAATGGTTTTGTTTGATACCGGTGCTATAGAACTGTTTTTACCATTGATCATATTATCTAACGTTCAAGATGATGCTACATCATTGCACCACCGGTAGCAATGGGTTGTTTTTTGAGAAAACTTTTTTAGACCACACCTTCTTGATTTCTAATGCATGGTCTGAATGCAACATTTTTTTTCTAGAAAAATTGTATCAAATAAGATGCCATTTCTGATGTGGCACCTATATGGTGCCATTTTCTCATAAAAACGTCATTGATGCCAAACACCGCCTAAGTATAGGGGAGCTTGAGAGGTTTCAACAATTTATCTTTTAAGGCCCTGTTTGCTTTTTGGCAATTCACTTACCTAGTTAAATAATAGAATGACCATTTTAACCATAAAAATCTATTATTAAAAAGAACATTTTAGTCCTGTTCGAGTGTGGCAACTTTCCCCTTGGATGGGAAAATTATTTACCCCACCTACGAGATTGGTATCATTTGCCCAAAATAAAACTTCCGTAATTCTAATTAAATCTGAAAAAAATATGAGTTTCTTTAATCAATAATAACCAAAATCTAATTAACCAACTTTCTACGTCTCAAAATCCCAAAAAAGAACGCCCCCTAAAAGCATTTTTCAAAACCCTAAGGATGGTTTTAGAGTTTATGTGATTTTCAGGTAACCCGGTTCAACGAACAGGATAGACAATATGCATAAAGATGGATCATAGCGGTGGACCGGTGGTATTCTATTCCGTTCCTGCTCTTTCGCGTGCTCGTCTGCTCGACGCAGCAGGGTTAGGAACTAGGAAGAGAAGCGAAGGGAGTGAAAAGGAACAAAAATGGTGCGGTTAACTGCGGATTTGATATGGAAGAGTCCTCACTTCTTCAATGCCGTTCGAGAGCGAGAGCTTGATCTCCGCGGTCAACACCATTCTTTCTCTATCTACAAAACCCTACATCATCCATAGCTCATAATGTTTCTTGTTAGTTGCAGTAGTAATAGTTGTCTATGTGAGACAAAAAACTTAGATTTTTCTTAAAAATTTCGTTATCATCTTTGTTCCAGGAAACAAGATTGCTGTGATAGAGAACCTAGGAGCGACTGAGGTGAGTGAGCTTCCACTTCAACTTCTCTATAAGACTAACCTTCTGCAATGAGACAAAACCTGTATTTGACTTTTCTCCCCCTCCAGTTCGCTAGTTTATCTTGTTTATATTCTTTCTTTGGGGTTCAAAGACATATGCGTACTTGCCAGGGACATAGATGATATGATTTGGTTAAGAAATCCTTTGTGTGAAAGACGAGTCTAGGGTCTCCTCGGGGCTGGGCCATTTGTATGGGGTTCTAGGCACAATATGCAAACTAATAAAAGTTTCATTGTTACTGATGAAAAAATAAAGTTTAGGGTCTCTACATCCTAGTAACAACCGTGCAGCTAATCTGTTGAAGCCCCGAGGTTTCCCAAAGTTTTATTTGTTTTCACTTAAAATTGACAAACTTTTCAGGCTCACATGTTTGCTCCTTCTACGGTGGAACTTTGTTTTACCTGCTATTTACAAAAACAAATTAGAAGGGCAGAAAACAAAGCTTTTTTCTGTGAAAGAGATGGAAATATTAGCTGAAATGTTTCAATTGGAAAAATTTCATGTCCATTTTATAGTGATACAAGTGCAGCCTATATGTCCTCCCCCCAGTTGTGTTAATGAATTTATTACCTAAAACAAGTCTACTTAAAATTATTCTATCTTTGAATCTTTAACACATAAAATTTCATTTTTCAGATGCTTGTATACTATTACCACTATTCCATTCCGTTATTTACTTCTCTTGTGCACCATAGTTTATAGAAATCCAGGTCTGCTACCAACATGTTTTTTTGATAATTGTTCTACCAACATGTTTTTTTGATAATTGTTCTACCAACGTGTTGTTAGCAACATTTGCTTCCAACATGATTGTAGCTGTACAACTCAAAAATGATCACTGTCTCTACTATACGACCCCCATCAATGACAAGATACATGAATGAAACATGTTTGAGATCTGCATCCATAAATCATATTGGAAGCAATGTTGCTCCTGACATGGTGGTACTTGGTAGCTGTTTGGACTCGGTTTATGGCCTCCAATTTTTTAGCTTCCCTTCATTCCATGTGGTCTCTTGTAAGCATGCTATATTAATCCTTATCCTCATTGTATTTACTAATTACATAGTCTTTTCTGTTAAACATTCCTACATTCTAAGTGGCTAATTGATTCATGTTTCTTGGATTAACTTCTTTACTTACCCTCTTCCAAAAGTATATGGGAACCTTCACTTATTTCTCATCACAACTTACCATTGTTTTGGTGCGTTGCTTTTAGGGAATGCCCTAGCATTAGCATGAAATGACAATTAAGTAGCCTTGTTCATAAGAAGTTGGCTGCTGATTTTACACAACCCTCCTCCCTTATTTGGGCTTGGGACAGGGAGTCAATGTATGGTTAGAAAATGGTGTTCAATATGGAATTTGTACTAAAAACTAACCCATCTAACTCAGGCACGATCTCAAAAGACTATAACCTGTAGGGATAGAATTAGGATTGGGAGATGTTGTAGTCACAAATGAAGAGAAGTAGTAGTGCTAGCCTTTTTTCTTATTATCTTTGAACTACAGAGGTAATGTTCAAGATGCGGTTCCATGGTGCTTGATGTTTGCTGATAACATAGTCTTAATTGATGAAACTAGTGAAGGATTAAATGCAAAATTAGTTTAAAATATATTCACAAAAAAACAAGTCATTTTATTATAAACAGGACTAAAAATAGAATATTATCTCTGTAGTTCAAAGAGATAACTCAGTGTGGCCTCTTTGGTTACCTTGGTTCAATAATTCATAAGTAGAGCACAAAGGGTAAAATGGAGGGTTTGTTATTGATAAAAAGGGTAAAATGGAGGGGGTGCATCTGGTGCAAGGTTCAAAATTTTGTCACGTATTGGGGCATATCATATTGTACTGGCCCTGTCTTGATATGTGAAATATTAAGCATTTTATAATTTTAATATAGCCAGGGATAGGCCTTGTTAAGACCAGCCCCTTGTAAAAATAAGTGTGTTGGGGGTTAAAAAAATAAGCATGTTGGTCAAATCCCTGATACGTACATTCCGGCATATCGGGGTGTATCAATATTCTGAACCTTGATCCTGAGTCTTATGTGATAGGCGAATACCATGTTGGTTTAAAGGAAAGTTCTATAAAACAGTTGAACCAGATTAACCAGTCTCCGGCGAAGAAGACTGTAGCTTTATTATCTTCTCTGATTTTCAGCAATTCCATACCCTTCAATCTAAGTAGATGACTAATGGTCACACTAGGAAGGAGCAACTTGGTGCAAGTAGAAGGCTCTAAAAGAGCATGGGGAAGGCTAAAGAGGACATGAGCTGAAATAATAAGAAATGACAGTTTTGTTGAGTTGAGTTCTTGTCCTTCCTTGAGTTTTCTCTCCTTTATAAGAAAATATGGAGGTTCTCATTGGATTGCATGTCCCAACTTCCTATTACCTCACCTATGGTTTTCATGGGTTTTTCATAAATAAATTATCTTCATTAGTTGCTTGGCTGCTGTACTGCTTTTTTTTTTTGTTTTTTTGTTGTTGCGTGGTCACTCCTATATACTTGTGTTGGATGTTTCTTTAATAGAACTCTTCAAGTAGATTATTTAGCTCTTTAAAATTTTGTAACCCTTTGGCACCTTCTGTTTGATGATAATGGCTTTTATACTTCTTATCTTAATTTCAGGACCAATTTGATACAATTGATCTGTCAGATAATGAGATTGTCAAGCTTGAAAACTTCCCTTATCTAAGTCGGTTGGGCACTTTGCTTATAAATAATAACAGAATTACTCGTATTAATCCTAATATAGGAGGTAAGACTGAAAACGCCATTTGCCTGTTTAATGCAATGTGTTTATTTCTTAAGGAAGCTTACTCTAATGGTTTCTGTTACTTAAATTTGCAGAATACTTACCAAAACTGCACACCCTAGTTCTAACAAATAATCGACTTGTTAACTTGGTTGAGATCGATCCTCTTGCATCCCTTCCGAAGTTGCAATTTCTTAGCCTGCTGGATAATAACATTACTAAGAAATCGAATTATCGGTTGTATGTGATCAACAAACTGAAACAGTTACGGTTGCTAGATTTCAAGAAAGTGAAACATAAGGTGAGTGCATTTTTTTTTAATTTTATATCAAGCAAGTATTGTTTAGGTGCCTTATAAGGCATGTCAGAGACTCAAAGTTCATTAGAACCTAGGTTGGATGGTCTTGAATCTTGATCTTGGTTATTTGATTCAATTACCTTGATTTCTTTTTTTTTTCCTTTTTTTGTTTTGAAGAGGTAATGTAAAATTGTACTAATAGAAAAAGGAAAGGTATACAAGTATGTCAGTTCACCGTACAAAAAGATTCTGTACATATGAACACCATTAGGAGCCCCCAAAGAAGTCAATAGCCAAAAAAGAAGACAGAAGATTCTGTTTAAAGTATAAGTTGATTCTCTACCAGCCTCTGAGATCTTCGACAATGTGATTAATCAGCATCTCTTCTTGAGACTACTTTTGGTAAAAAATCCTCCTATTCTGTTCTTCCCATATAGCCCATAACACTTCCAGAGGAATAGACCACAAAGTCCACCCCTTCTTATTCATTTCCCTACTTTCCAACTTTCAGGAAGGGACTTCTGGCTGTGCTTAACATAAGCTTGTTAATGGGTGGTAATTTGTCCTCGTAGAATTAGAGATCATGCTCCCAAGTACAGCCATCAGCCCCATTGTAGTTTAGAGGAAAGCTTGTCAAAATAAGTTGTCTCTCCACAAATGGGTTAATTGATGCCTAAGTTTTTTTTGTTTTAATTCAAAATTGAAAAAAAGATTCCTTGTCATTGATAAAAAACTTCTTCAATACATAAAGTTAAGAATGTAATGAAATACTCAAAAGTGCATAAACTGACAGAGTCAATGACTCAGATTTAAGGGAGAAATGCATGAAGATCCAGACCCTGTGGTTAGATGGGGAAACAAATTTGATGCTAAAAATTAGTAATCTAAGTGAACTAGGATAGAAGGCAATAAAATCTGGTCCATATTCAATAGCTCCCTGATTGCTTTTTTGCACTAACAGTTTGTCATCATTCAGTGGAAGGATTTTTTTTTTTTTAATAAATGAGAATAGTTTTATTAATTCAAATAACGAAAGTACAATCAGCCTAGGAGGAGGCACGAGATGTTACCTCCCCCGAGGACTGAACCATATACACTAAACATACCCAAGCCTGAAACACAATTACAAAGTAGCCCAAAGTAGATCTCCCCTTGACACCCCTTGCTTGGCCAGAAAATCAGCCATTGCATTTGCTGATATGTTAACCCACTGAAACCTGACAGTCATATTTTTTGTCATCCATTTAACTTTTTTTAACAGATCCCTGTAGCCCCAACAAGCTGTTTCTGGACTTATCAGCCAGCCCACTACTACCTTGGAATCCCTTTCTACTATCAAATTGTTCACTCTAATTTGACTAGTCATCTGTGTACCTTGTACTGCTGCTAGTAACTCTGCCTTTACAGAATCACCTTCACCCGCTGGTCCTGAAAATATAGACAACTTATTGCTGTTTTTGTCTCTCAGAATCCCTCCAATTCCGGATGGCCCTGGGTTACCTTGGCAGCTGCCATCAAAATTCAATTTTACCACTCCATCCGGTGGGGGTTTCCATTCAGCTAGTGATTTGTTCTTGGTGGAGACTGTAGAAGCCACTACTGTCAATCTCTGATACATTTCCATTCAGCTAGTGATTTGTTCTCCTTAAGTCATCAAAGGAGTACTCTGCCAACAAATGTAACCACGTGAGTGTCCTTGTCGTTATGCATTCCTTGATTTCAGCAAGACTTCTTTCCTTTTCTTGAAATATTCTAACATTTCTCTCCTCCCATAATATCCACAAGGTAGTGGTTCTGATACATTTCCACATTAGCTTCCCTCTTTTTGTCAATCTCCCAAAGGCAGCCGGAGTGAACAACAACTTTACTTCACAGGGCAAGTTCCACCTGCACTCAAATAATTAAACAACCCAGTTCCAAATGTTGGCAGCAAAGGAGCACAATATCAGCAGATGGCTATAGTCCTCATCCTTCACTTTATACTGGAATCACCAATTTGGGGACAAACGCATAAAATGTTTCTTCTTTTGCAAGTTTTCCGTAGTATTGATCTTACCATAATAGGCTTTCCAACAGAACACTGCTATTTTGGGGGGGGGGGGTATTGGCCTTGACCAAACCTTTTTAACAGGGAAGACCTGAGAGGAGGGGTTGGAGCAAAGGGCTTGTACAGGAGCGGCTGTACAAGGCATCCAGATTGCTGAACAATTAGGAGTTCAACATTTGATAGTTGAAGGAGACTCTAAAATTGTTGTGGGATGGCTGACAAAGCCAGTTTCAGCTGTGGCGATATAGAGATTTATTGAGGAAAGTCAATTGGCTCACAAGAAATATGACAATTACCTCTCTTTGGGTAGAAGGATCAGCAAATTCCTTAGCGGATGGACTAGCTAAGCAAGGGGTTTCAAGGGATCATTTGTTTTGGGTTGCTATGTAATTTTATTTCTGTTTATTTCTGCTTATCCAGTTCTTAATTGATGTAATACTTTGTTAGAAGAGGTAACAGCTCGTGCCTCTTCATGGGTTTCTTGTATTGCCTTATATTCTGATTTAATAAATTATTTTCATTCATAAAAAAAAAAGATGCGCAAATGAAGGAGCCAACCGGGGTTAGGGACCAGACCCTTTTATCCGAGTTGGGGGGTCCAAACACACCAAATCTAAAAGCAGCAATAGTTCTGAAACACAAAAAAATTCTTTACCCTTAACCCTCTTTGAAACCTAAAATCCTATTTTAAAGCCAAAGGGCAAACTGGGGGAGGGTGGAAGGAACCATGAAATGGGTTTCTTTTTAAAGAGGGAGATGGAATAGTGAGAAGGGAAACTGTCTTTTAGGGGTTGAGTGCTCACCCAAATATCTTCCTAAAAAAGAATGGAGTTTCCAGAACAAACATCATACCTTACAAATTTGAGGAATTTGGGGAGAATGCCAGAGATAGCCTTCCAAGGTGTTGTTAGCAAAGCCCTTCAGGATACCCCTGCATCCCAACCTGATTTAGAACAACCATGGATACTTTTCACTATTTCATGCCACAACCTCTCCTTCTCTAGGGGGGCCACCTCCAAAGTCACTTACCTAAAAGAGCTTTATTCTTATTCACAATATTCCCTAAGCCTAGGCCTCCTTTTTTGCTCTGACTCACCATCTCCCACCTAGTGTTTTAAAAGTGCAAGGCGTAGGGGTCAATTTGCACTAGGCGCAAGGCGAGGTGCAAAATTATAAAAAAATGCTAAAAAATAAAAAAAGTCAGAAAATTCAAAAAAGTACTAAACATAATATTAATAAAAAAATATAAACTTAAATTCTAAAATAATGTTTTAAAAAACCTATTATCTAAAATTAGAATACATAAACATAAGATGTAATTATGTAAAGCATATTCAAATGAGAATTTAAAAATAAAATCAAACATATAAAACATTTTCAAGCATTTAAAACCTCTAATCTCTTTTTTCACTTAATTGCATTACTTCATGTAGCTAATGTAATGCAAAACATATTACATTCCTGATTCTACAAGCCGCCTTTGTGCCACACCCCTCGAGGCAAGCCTAAACAAGTCCACGTTAGCTCTTAAATTTTTAGTTTTCACACAAAAAATAATGATTTTATAGTTTTACTTGTTTTTTAAGAAGATATTTTATTAGGATGAATGAATGAACAACATTACCAAATTGGGGGTTCTCGGAGCTTTCGTGAGCTCTCCTTTGCTTCGACAAGACCCCCCCTTTCAACTAATGTTATGCATTTTTATTCTTCTTAATATAAAAGATTTTTATTAAAAATAAAGAAAAAATGAGATCCCCCCTTCCTCTTCATCTCCTCCTAACCCCCTCCTCTTAAGGAGGCTTATGCCTCTTTGTGTTCGGGAGGCTTACGCCTCTTACATTCTGAACTATGCCTCACGCCTCTAGGTAGTGGAATGCCTCGTGTCATGCCTCCGCGTTTTAAAACATTGATCTGAACATAGGACCTGCTGTCCCTCTGCCCACCCTACCATGCAGACTTTCCCCAAGTGTTTGAGTTATTCTCTTTTTTCTTGGTTACCTCAGTTGACTTAGCCTATTTTATAGTAACTACTCTTCCTTGCAAACCACTTAAACAAGCCTGTTCTGTCCCTTCATCTTCCTTGCTTTGTCCCCCTTCCATAGCTGGGCTTCAATGGAAGTAGCAAGCTAAACGTGGTATACTAAACCATCTGAAACAACCTCTATCTTCCTTGGAATATCATTGGGTGTAACACCACCTAGCATCACTGCGATTGAATGGAAATCAAAATCAAAGACACCATCTAATCTTGCATCACAGATTGCAGCTATTGATTGTAATACTTCCTCCTTCCAAAGATTGAAAGGTAACCCAAGCAATCTAACTATTACATTATCCTCAATCTTAAAACTTTTGGTATTAGAGAGAGGACACCATTTCGAGACTGTGACAACACCAACCTTTGAGTGAATATTTAAAACTGAAATCTCTACTTGATCTTCACCCAGATCTATCAGAGCTTTACAAGATTCATAAAGATTAACCACCATTGGCTTTTGCAGGTTTAATTCTCTGAGTATCGCCTGCACAATGCCTCTCCAATCCTTTGGTGGACTTGAAGTTTCCACCAAAAATTTCTTCCCCCAATCCTTCTTTTCTACTGTTGCTACCAGTTTACAACTTCTTTTTCCTTTTTCTGCAATCGTCCATTTCCTATAAATGGGTTCTTTCTCTCTCTTTTGTTTACCCACTTTCTTTTCCTTTGCCACAACCTCTACTTGTTTTAGTTTCAGCTGCTGAGTAAAGTCACTCAGTACCTCTGCCACTACCTTCCATCCATTACCCCTTCTACTTTCTGGGAAGCAAACCAACTGCTTCTTTCTTCCTCCAAAGATTTCCTGCAGAGTTATGTAACATCCTTTTGCATTCTTTTTACATTCCAATTCATAACTCTTTCTTCCATCAAGGTTGAACTTCTTAAAGTTCATTTGTTTACCTTTAGAACTTGCTTCTA